AAGTTTGACTAATCCCAGTGAGACTGGGCTTGTTGTTGGTGAGGTAGCTGTGGGTGAGATGAGCTTATTGGAAAAAGCAGTTAAGGAATCTAGGGACAATTATCAAAAGGTGTTGCAAGCTCAAGGATCAGTTGATGAAGTTAAAGTAGATGGTATTGACACTAATTTGGCAGTGATGAAGGTATTATAAGTGATGCAATTCAGTTGCTTTAGTATTTCAAATTCAATATGTTTTTACCATTAAAAAGATAAACCGCAAAAAAGGGCAATTCATTTGGACTTTTTGTTAGGGGGTGGGGGACATATTGCTTAAACATTTGGGGGGAACCGTATTTATCCTAAACTCAACTCATTTTTCTTGGTATTTTAAGCTTGATTTGATGCTCCCTCTTTTTGTTTTTGTCCTTTTCAGTTGAGTCTTTGTAAATACATAAATGCCTTGTTCTATAAGTCTGGTGTATGCCCTGATTGTATCTCCATGTTCTTTGGCTTTTCCACTTTACCTCTTTTTTTATTATTTATTTATTTTTCAATTGTACTTGCAGGAATTACTTGTTCCCTTAATGGAGGTTGGGAATGGGCTTCTTTCTCTGCTAAATTGGGATGATCCTAGAAAGTCTTTGATATTCTGCTTGCTTTTCACATTCATAATTTGCAGGTGAGACATATTAGATGGAGCTATTTTTGTTCCTTATTGATTTTCTTGTGGGTATCATGTGGTAGGATATTTAATTTGAGCCTCTTTACATATTACTAATTGTTTTTAGGTTGGATGCTTTAACAATTATGATGCTAACGACAAAATTAGGTTATTCTTAAGTGAGGAGATTTTTTTATTTTAGTGGTTTTTATCTTTGATGGATTTAGCTGGGATTGTGTTATTGAATCAATTTTAGGCACGATGTTTAAGGATACAAAGTGCAAAGCTTGTTATCATCCTCCTTTCAATATCTCTTTTGGTTCATAAGCACTATTCCCATACCAACAAGAGTTTGGTTGAGTTGGTACCCATTAATTTAAAAACCTTAATTTGGGGTCAAGGTTAGAAGTTCAAACCTCTATGTTGCCAAGTAGCTAACCCTCCAATGTACCAAAAAAACAAAAAAAAAGGCACTATTCTCATACTCTCCAGTTCTAGAGCCTTGCACCATATAACTCTCAAATACTTCATTTTCTTTCCAAATTAACAACCATAATGTATGTAAGCAACTACATCCCCATGATTGCACATACTTTCTAAATGCCCCAAACCCTTAATTTGAAAGCACCCTAGCTTCTTTGGTTATTATAATATGCGGCTGATTCAGATTTTGTCAAGCTGTTTGATATGAATAATGGTAGATGCTCTGTTATGCAAAACAAAGTATAGTCTTGGTTAACCAAATGCATGATTCATCTGAAAGTAATGTTGCTTTTGAAGTGGAAAAACCTATGCCTACTTCTGTCAAGGGAGATGCAATGTTCTGGGAAATGTTTCATTCTAAATGTCACTCTAGTTTATAGAAGAGATTAGGGGATTATATTTTTAGTACTTTGAGGGGCTCATATTGGGTTTCCCTGCCTTAATGATACTGCTCCATTTCCATCCTTAGAATTTTCGTGATCTGCATTTCAGGGGATGGCTGAGTTATGCCTTTGCACTAATGCTTCTATTTGTTGCTGCCTTTATGATGCTTACTCGATGTTTCAATCAAGGAAGGCCTGTCTATGAAATTAAGGTAATAGCACCTCCACCCATGAACACAATGGAGCAGCTTTTGGCTGTTCAGAATGCAATTTCTCAGGTTGAGCAGCTTATCCAAGATGGGAACATTGTCCTTCTCAAGTTCCGTGCCCTGTTACTGTCCATTTTCCCAAAGGTTCTATTCTTTGCTTTCTTTCCTTCCTTCCTTTGTGGACCTTTCTATGCTAATATGGGTTTCTTTTCATAACTTATAATAACATTACTATGACATTCTAACTTTTTTCACTCTTATATTATCATCTAGGCAAGTGAGAAATTTGCGATCAGTCTTTTGTGTACAGCCTTGATTCTGGCCTTTGTGCCCATTAAGTACATAGTTCTGCTGACCTTTTTAGAGACGTTTACAAGGTATTCACCTCCAAGGAAACCAAGCACGGAAAGATGGATGAGGAGATTTAGAGAATGGTGGTTCAGTATCCCAGCGGCTCCTGTAATTCTTGAAAGAGAAACAGAAGATAAAAAGAGAAAGTGATACTTGATCATTTGTGTACATATGTGTGTGTAGAGAAACGATTTTGTATCACAACATTGTAATGTATTATGAGAAATGTATGAAGAAGTGGTCTAAGAAAACAAACAAGAACTTAATTGAAGTGTACTTGTGAAGTGTTGGAAAAGAATGGGACAGATTTTTAAGGCTATGTTTGGGATCTTACTTCTGCAGGATGTGTTTTCATGCTTGAGTTTGGTTGCAAAATGATAACCTGGTGAATCTTGAGAAAATGGCATCTGTTAGCTTAATTTAGGGAATAATTCTGCCATGCGAAAGCAATACTCTGCTGCTGGCTTATGGCATTCGGAGGGATGGGAAGTACTGGAATTTAATTTACTTCCTGTTATTAAAAACAAGGTGGACTTAGGACACCACCTGAGTATCCAAAATAAAGCTGATATTAAGTGGAATGTAGTCCATGTAATACTTACAGAAAAATGAGGTGGAGCATGTTTTGTATAGATTGCATTTCTAATAATCATTGACGGAGGGTAGAAACGTTGTGATTTTAGGGGTTCATCCGTCCATCGACAGTTAAAAATAATATAGTTTGCGTAGAATAAATTGTAACATTCTTTTATATTTAAGTTTATGAGTTTGCATAATATTACCATATATATTAGGATCTTTTGAAGATGACAAAATTTGAAAGACTTCAACTTAAGCTGGGATACTGCATTCCCAATTGCTTGTTGGTACATTTGGTTGATGCAGAATCGGGACGTTTTCAAGAGGAGCTAGCATTGCTCAACAACCCACCACCTAAAACCAATAATCTGTTGGTTC